CCTGCCCACCCCCGGTGCAGCCCGCAGGGAAAGACTGCCGAGGGAAAAGGGACAAGAGTGCGGACACCCCCCACCCCCCCTTTCGGGCTTCCTAAATCGCCTCTAGGGCTGCACCTGCGGCTCCAGCTCGACAAAGCAGCGGCACACGCTGGTGGCGGCTCTGCAGCAGCCTAGACTCTGGTTTTGGTCCGTTCCTTCTTAATTTCCATCATGTCTCCCCTCACATTAACATCCACCGGCAGCCAGTGCCCCGCACCCTGTCCAGCCTCATACAATGGCACCATCCGGGCCCATCCTCCTCCATGGGGCACCCTCAGCAGCAGCCGAGGGACGGCAGGGCACAGCGCGGGCTCGCCCTGAAGTCAGGCGAGAGAAGGCAGACGGAGGTTTTGCTACATGTCATGTCACAGCCATGCCCTTAACCAGGTTACCAAGTCAACAGCTGGGCACTCATGGCCTTGAGGACCCTCCATGTTGACTTAACACCAACAAAACACCTGCCCCAAACCAAAAACTGGTGATCATCACCATTTAAAGCAGAGTTTTGCTCAATGCGTCTTTCCCCTGCTTGTACATTTGTACCGCTTTGCCGTGCAAACTCAGTGGGGCAGGGAGACCCTTTTTGTTTGCTTGTCTGTGCCCAGAGGCACACGATCGAGGGCAAAGGATCTTATGTATTCCCAAAGAGGGATGGGAAATAAATCAGTGTTATTTCTTTATCTGTTTACTGCCAAATACTACTATCACAAATACAGTAGTTGTCATTTAAAGCAATGGAGAGTGTTAGATGTCTGAGCACTTTAAGAGATCATTTTTGAAATACTTACATGGGCTTGACGATGAGGAAAGGCTCATCACACGTTGTCCCAGCCAGCACAGGCTGTCACACACAGGCAGACACAACCGAGGGACCTCCACGTCAGGCACTGCAAATGCAGTTGGAAGAGATGAAAGTCCAGCCAGGTGAGGCACAAAAGCGCTATGAAAATACAGCAGACCTAGTACTTGTGACTTATACATGGGCTCTTGTCTTATACTGTACATTTCTACACATACTCATTATATTAACCTGTATAGTCTTAATAATCTAGCCCCAGCAATCACGAGGAAGCATAGTGGTCCTTCGCAGAGCCATCAAGACAGCAACAGGAGCACTGGGTTGCCATCTGAAAGCTTGTCAGGGCTACCTGCTCCTTTATTTTTCCAATGCATTTCGTTCCGAAACTAAGAGCAATGTTTTAGTAAACCTGTGACTCACAACAGCAGCCTGGCCTGTGAGCCTTGCGTGCTAAACGCACGTCCTGCTGGCAATCGGTCCAGGTTAGTTGTCGAGGTCTGTGGCAGGGAAACGGCAGCAGCCATCAGAGCAGGCTGCGACAGTGCCTGGCAACCTGGCACCCAGGTCAGGTGTGTTCTGCCTTGGTTTTGTTCTTAACCTAGTGGCATACCAGGAAGGAGAAGGTCCAAAAATCAAAACACAATGTCCATGGTTTCCTGTGGCTTCAAGCTACGTTCTCTCTCGGCTTGGCTATCACTTTTATTTTCACTCATATTTTTCTTCTCCAGTCACGGTTAGTTTGAATTCTGTAGGTGAATCCTGGCCCTATTGAGTCTGAGCTGTTTTTTCATTGACAAGGTGGGATCTCCCCCCTTGAATTTTCTTATTTATAAACATCAGAGCATGCTGAATTGCATGATTAAACACAACTGACAAAATATCAGCCCAACGTAAGGGTGAATTACTTCAAAGTGATTAACACCGAGGAAACGGTGATGATTATTCTCTTCATGTGAAACTAATGTGCACACAATATCCACGTTCTTTCAGAGCAGGCAACACACCCCACGTCAGCTGTACGCAAGACACTGCATAAAAACTGACCTTAGTCTCTCACTGTGTCTAATCCCCTAGTCCACATTAGGCTATGACAATTTCTGTGGTGTCACTTACCAAACACATAGGAATAGTAACACATTTTGCAAAACAAGAGTCCTGTAAAATGTTGGTAAGGTCTCTGCAATTCCAGGTGTTATTTGGCCAAATGGTCAGCCTTCAATGACCTCAGTTAGAACTTCTTAATTTCCCATAGTTACTAGATTAGTATGTGGAAGCACACATACAGAATAAGGCTGCACCTGCCTAAAGGGATTGTTTTTAGAAAGCCCGTGGGATTTACAGGAATTAGCAAGACTGAGACTCTGATGTCTTACGTGCTTTTGAAACCCCTACCTGAGATGCTGAGAAACAGACTTAGGAGTCAAAACTGTAAGACTTGGGTCTTACAGAGTTAAGTATTTTAGAACTAATTATGTGCAAAATAGCAAAAGAAAACCCTGTATTTTCTAACAGTAATAGGTTAGATTGTCACTCATTTCATGAATGAAGTTTAGCAGGCCCGTGAAAAGCAAGGGCAGTTTTTTTGGTTTTGTTTTAGATCTTTACTGCTCCACAGTTATGAACTGTAGTTTGAAATGAATGAAAAGGTGTTCCTTGTTATAGCCTGCGAACCACACCCATTTTAGCAGAAAAGCACAAGCTGGATAGCATTTTGGTGGTGCACGTTGAGAAATGCTGCAGACGGCCACGGGCATTCAGCAGAGAGCCCGTCAACGTTGCAGGAGACAGTGAGGGCAAGAGCAGGCAATTGAACACAGGGCTTGCACTCAGGGAGAGAGGGGATGAACTGAGGCAAAAAGGATCTCCATGGGAACACAGAACACTGCAGAGTCCCTTTGGCACAGCAAAGCGTCTCATTGGGCTACCCCTTTTTAAAAGAACTGCCAAAGTTTGGGGCAGGGGAGAAGTGCAGTGGAAGAAATCAAGGCTCAGTTTTGCAAGACAGGAATCACAAGAGCAACAACTTTTGCAGCACCTCACACAAGGTTCTAGGATATAAACTCTGTCTTTACAGCACTCCTAAGCCTTTCCTTAAAGTAATTAATAAAAAAACCCAGCGCGCTCTAATACTATCAAGCTTCTCAAATATTTTTTCAGCCTTGGAGTTCCTACTGCATAAGCAGAAATTATGTTCCCAGGACATTTTTTACAACAGTGTCAAGTTTTGTAGATACTTACCACAAGAAACCAGAAATTGCCTTTAATTGTAGAAACCTGCCCCCACCTCAGCCTAAAAACAGTACCTTATGATTTTAAGAAAACAGTTGTAGGGGAAAGAAACTGAAATAATAAAAGGGGAAATTAACCCAGAAAAAATGGGAATAAAAGCCAGGAAAGAATAAATAAAAGTTTTTAACTGATACTCTTAACAGAACCCTTTCTGGGTAAAATCATCTAGGTTCCTACCCAGACTTATTGCTAATCTGACCACACTTATTGCTGAAACAGATTCATTGGGTTTACTGCAGTTTTTCCAAAGCATGCCAATTAGAAATGATCGCATCTCCTATTTCCCAGTACCTCTCACTATTCCCCAACAGGTGCCCAGCTCCATCTCTAGCAGCAAAATCTGCACAGGTAATTTCTACAAAATACCTGCGGCACTGAGGGTGCTAAGAGCCCAAGCGGGGAAAGTAGGCTGAACTTCCACAAGCCTTTTGTGGAAAAGCCATTCAATCTAGAATTAGAAAAGGATCACAGCCAGCAGGGCTGCCTCTCCTTTTCGCCCTTTGAAAGTCTGCCTTGTTAGGATGCAGCTAATGCCTCTAAACACTGTGCTCTAATCCATCAGAAATCAAAGATAATTTTGCTAATAACCTTTGCAGGCAACAGTCTAAGCTTTTATCTGTGATGAGAGTCACTCTTCTTCCCAGGGAGAAAATACTAACCTTTTTTTCCTCTCACCTCATGGACTCTCCCTTCTAAATATCTCTTAATAGCTCTGAGAAGCACCTGTTGACCAAGAGAGAAATAACGCTCAGTGCAAACCAATTACAATTTGCGTGTAATTTGTGTGTGTTGCCTTAAACAGCTTAGCAATAGTCTTCATCTTCCACACAGCTTAATTTTGTTCTGTAATCAAACCTCCAATACCTTGCAGTAGACTGTGAAATATTGCTGCCTTAGTGGCCTAGGTACCTCATTGGAGTAACCACCACCAAACTCCCTCCCTGGAGCACGCTTACCGCTAGCCTGCAGACAACCTGGAAGTCTCAATCACGTTCAGGTGAAATCCCCCCCACCACCACCTTTTATTGGAAATCCCATTCTCCGTACCCTGTGCAGCAATGTGACTGTGCACAGCGAGTATTTTGTGATGGGGAAAATCCACAGCAGTTGCCTTCCAGTTACTGCACAATGCCAGTGAGAATATAAAACAAATTAGCTGGTAATTCACAGCAGGGTTAAAATCTTGCACAGACAATGGCCAGCCAAACTTTCTCCTGGTAAGTTTTTTTTCCCCTTTTATGTCTTACCAGAGATTGTTTTCCACAGCACAGCAAAAAAGGAAGCTGGAGTCTCTGCTGCAGGATTCCAAGAAGTCTCAAGCTGTGGAAGAAAGTGCAAGACAGAACCGAGCATGGGATGCTGGGGATGCCTAACTATGAAAAACTGTCAGGAGACATCATCCATGTGCACCAAGCACAGGACTCCCAGCAGCCTGGTAAAGAAGTAAAAAGGATGAGAGGGCAGATATCTGGACATAAAAGGAATATAGTCATAATATACTGTGTCAGAAATAATGACCGTCATACCTTTTCTGGTTTGTTTTTTTTTGTTTGTTTTTTTTGTTTGTTTTTTTTTTAAATGAGATAAAGAATTAGCTCAGTTTGTTAATAACACAATCCACCAATGTCGAGTCTGTGGTGCCACCCAAAAGCACAAGTTAGTCTTATTCATGTACTTGATAATTTTCTTAGACATTGTTATCAAAGTATCACGTCTCTGTGATTTCCGCAGGTTTTCACATGCATAAACATACCCACTTAGTTATGGAAGTATGGGAGATCACTCCACTTAATAATCTAGCAAGATAGTCACTAAACAGTACGCCACTGCAACTCGAGTGAAAAAACACCCCAACAAAACCAACCCCAAACCGACAAACCAGTTCTGCCTTACATCATTGCCATTCTTGGGTGCTTCAAACAGCGGTGGTCACTGAGGTTATTTGTGCAGATTGACACGTGGTCACTAAGGCTATCAAGGCTACCAGACCATCTCCAAGATCTTTTTCCATCTCCCTTACTGTTCAAGGGGAAAAATTCTCTCTTCTCATGCTAGAAATGTCTCCCTCTCCAGACTGAGGTATTGCAGTTGTTTCATCTCTAAAGCTTTAGGGAAGAGATAGCATAAGACATCAAAGCGATGGAAAGCTCAGAACTCGTTACATGTGTATATTGCTTTGGAAAGTTCGGGAATAAAAGTAGCAACAGAGTTGCAGTATTTGATGAAGAACTCACAATTGCTCCTACATTCTCAGAATAGGAGACGGTATCTTTCCCCCACAAAAAGTCAATACAAGTTTGTTCACAGTACCATATATTACATCCTACAGAACTGTACTTTGAATAA